GAAGCCCCTGGACATCAACTGCACAGATCTGCTGGGTAACACTCCACTGCACTGTGCCGCCTATCGAGGCCAGAGGCAGTGTGCCCTGAAGCTGCTCAAGAATGGAGCCAGCCCTGACATCAGAAACAAAAAAGGTCAAAGACATTAATCAGACATAGCAGATTTGAATGACTGCTGCAGAATGTTAAAGACGAAAGCATGGTTTTATAAAAGAATAGACTACAGCCAACTGCTAACAGCTATTGTAGTGTGTGATTCTGGTTTTTATGTCACTCGTTGTCAAGGACTTCAATGAAACACACTGTATTGATTTTGTGAGTTTTCACATCAATGACCAGACAAACACATAGTTACCTTGAGGGGTCGTTGGCAGTCTGTGGGTGCTAACATGTGTCATGCTCTCATGTTCCATTCAACAGCGTGTACCAACGTTGTCTATTCTGTACTATTACCATTATTAGCCTAGTTCAAACATGCTAAATCACCAGGGGATTATCAGAGGTAGTAACAGTATGTCTCAGCAGGGGGTGCTCAAAACACAGCTTGACCAAAGACTAAGGTCTCAAACAAGCTCTCTTCCAAGTGTGTTATGCTTTCACATGTCAAATTTGGATTTCCTCAGCTCCTCTTTCTTGTAACTACACCGAGTATGTACAGTTGTACTTGCTTCTGATTGGCTAAGTCAGGAAAAATAGAGTTTCCAAATAGATGCAGAGCAGTGACAGTGATTCTTTTATGTCCTATGCAAAAAACTACAGCCTGAGTTTCACTCCATATACTATGTGCGTATACTACGTGCGTCCAGTTCTCCCATGTAGTTAGGAGCAAACTCTCCTATATAATATAGAGAGTTTGAGCTAAAACATGCCCCATATTCAGGATTCCCTGTGGTCTTCAGTTGCTGGACACTTGTGTGATGCTGATGCTAAAAGTTACACAAGATAAAGATTGTGAAATATTGTATCAAATGATGATCCTTTGTTTCAGACGTTGCAGTGGTTTAAATAGTGCAGTATGGCTTTACACACTGCAGGCTACAATGAAGACACAGGCACTAATGTGTGGGAAATGTCAGACTGTGACTGAGCATAAATTCATACATTGATTAAATAATCATGTCTCCAGTCACTGTATAGATGTGTGTGTTCTCTTGTGCTAAGGTCTGATTATGTTGTTTGTCCGTAAATACACAGGGCAGACAGTGTTTGATCTGGCCAATGATTCGGCAACAAAGCAGGTCCTTGAAGGGAGCCTCAGTCGAGTAAGTTCTCAGCTCCTCACATCATCGTTTCCATTTGGTCTTTAATTTGTTTGGTTTCTACTTTCTTCATGTGTCGTGTTGGTGCTTTGCAGGGCACGCCACGCCACGTCAAGAAGTACGAAGGACTCCTGTGGAAGGTTAAGTTCTAAACCTCTGCTGGCTCAGAGAACAAACTCCATCACTGATTTATCATAGAACAAACAAACAATATCACCAATCAAAATGTCAACTGAATAAATGTATATTTGTGTACTAGTGTACTTTAGTAAGTAGTATTTAGTAAATATTAGAATGTTACTGTGTGCTTGGGTGTTTTGAAATGTGATCATGATTATTATGATGATTGTTATTATTATTATGAATAATAATTGTTATTAATTATTCTTAATATTAATTAATAATAATTATTATTGTTGTTAATGGTAATTTATTATTTATTTATATTTTAATTTATTGTTATTATCAATAATAATAATAGTACTAATTTACATAAAAAGGTAAGGTAAAAGGTAAGGTAAATAGCTTTGAGTTATAAACAATAGTTATTTGATTACATAATATCAAAGTTGTGTACTTGTAAATTAAATGTGCATAATTGAGAAAATCAAGTATTAAAAAAACAGGCTCATCAATAATGTAGCACTGAGTGTAGGGTTCTGTGTGGTGGATGAAGATGATGAAGCATTCAAAATACTTTCTCTCCAAAACACAGAGCCCTGTTCTCGTCACATGAATGAGCAACTGACTCACTGGGAGACATTTTATTCATAATGAATGAACAAAGTGCCTTAATTCTGTCTCAGCCCTACTATTAATCCACAGCTGAAAATAGTCTAGTTGTAATTACCCTTTGGATGTTGACACGAGTGCTACTTAGGAACTCAAAGTAGGCAATTATGTTAGCGTCTGAATGACGTGACCAAAGTGGAAAACCCTGAAAATTTCTCTCCAGTTTCATCGCCCGCTGAGCTAATCAGAGACCCCAAATTCCCTTTTTGTGTTTGAGTGTGAAGGCATCTCCAATCAATAACCGTGATCAATAGAAATCAAACTGATGTTTTGTTGTTTTTTTCTCCATCCTGCAGAGTTCCAGATTCTTTGGCTGGCGCTCCTACTGGGTGGTCCTTCAGGATGGGGTTCTATCCTGGTACTCTAAACAGTAGGTGGCCTCTCTCACCTTGTTTGTGCTCCTCGAATCAATCAGGGATGAGGGGGAAAAATCTTCACAATAGACTAATGGAGGCTGTGTGTGGAGTTGATGTTGAAAAGTGCCCGAGGCGATGAACATGTTGGTTTGTTTAAGTGTCAACACGAAGTGGTTTGTGCTTTGAAAAGCTTTTGTTTTTCTTTGACCTTAAAGGTCAGACGCTGCTGTCAGTGTCAGAAGACAAGGCTGTAAAGCCCTAACACACTCTCACTGTTTGGTGAGTTGACAATAATGAACCACAGAGAGAACAGTATTTGGACAACGGATATACAGTAAGTCTAATGTGTACCTGATATTTTCTCCCTTCAGATCCGTGCTAAAGATAACTGCTTTTTTACCCTGAAGTGCTTCGACGACAGCGTGCATCACTTCAAGGTCTCACCACAACAGGACCCCGAGGCAACGAGAAAGGTTTGTTTCATTTCGTTTCATCATCATTGTTGTGTTTATTTAGCGCTTATTTTGGTCCTGGATAATATTTGTCTCCATCCTGACTTCTTGACCAGTTCGTACCAGTTTGCGCCGTATGTCTGACTAACCTGGAGCCTCCCACTGTTTTTTAGCCTTTAGCTCATTTTCACCGAGCTGCTCAGATGACACTAATTGTTTTCAGTGAACATTTGTCTCATATTGTAAGATATTTTATTTGGCTGACATTAGGCTATAAACTTAACTAATAGCTAATCCAGCCTAAAAAGCCACAAGATTACTCAAATATGATTTGTTTCTGGCCTGATTTGTACTTTACTGTAGGTTTTCTTTTTCTTTAGCGTCAAAGAATTTAAGCCTTCATGGGCTGACATTTATCTTTATACTGCACTTTTACGTTTGGAATGAAATGTACGTAGTGTTTATGGATAACAAAAGTGTTTAAAAGTGAAAGTAAAGTCACAGAATTTTTTTTTTCATCGCTGATAAGTATATATTATGTAAAACATTGACATACTAATACAATTCTATCCATCCATCCATCCATCCATCCATCCATCCATCCATCCATCCATCCATCTATCTATCTATCTTGTCTTTAATGAGAAAAATCATTTATTTTAATTCAGGCATGGCTGGATGCAGTGGCCGAGCACGCAGCCTACAGCACTCACTACTGTTCACAAGAGCAGGGCAGCGAGGAGGACGAGGAGGAGGAAGTGATGTCATTGGGGGAGTTAACAAACTCATTGCAGGTGGAGCTGCAATTAACATGTCATAACACACAGCATACTGTAATGATCAATTGTATTACTACTGAAATAGAACCCTGCCTGCTCCTCCCACCATGCACTGCTTTTGTCTCATCTTCCGACGCCTCTGTGTCTTTGTGGCAACAGGCGGCAGAGGAGAGCCAGCGGAGGCTGCAGAGGGAGGTGACGGCTTTTCTGTCCTTGGTGAAAAACGACGCACTGTTACAAAGTAAAACCCGTTATTATTATTTCATACACACTGTCAAATAACACAGTGAGACACGATATTTCAGTTGGTTCATTGTTCGTCACTGTTCGTCTCCCTCAGACTTCCCCACCAGCACACTACAGAAAATGAAAGAAATTTGTGAGTTGTCCAGCGAAACCAGTTGCAACCTCAACGTGTGTCTTTGCCTTCTGTCCAAAAAGGAAGGGGTGAGTGTCTGCAAGACAGTAATATTTGCACAGTAATTATCTTTCTATGAGATGATCAGAATGTTGGGCTTTGGGGTCTGCACCCTGTGGCTTCAGAGCCACGAGAGGCTGTTCTGTCTCCTAGCTTTGGCTTCCTGCACAATCATATTTGATGTCTGTTGATGGACCAGATTTAGTCTGTGACTTGGTTGCTAACAGCCCAGTGTGCAGCAATTTAATAAATCCAATTAATTATTTTTAATTGTTAACATATATGGTGCTTTCAGTTTTCATTCATAAATCATTAAGTCCAGCATTTAAAGGGGCAGTGGTGGTCCCAAGTCCACTTGACTTGGGTCCTGAAGGATTCAGGTTCAAGTCCACCAGCTGCCAAGTTACCATTGAGGTGCTCTGAGCAGGGCACTGTCCCCACACACTGGCCCCCGGGCGCCTAAAGCTGCCCACTGTTCACTTTGGTGATGGGTTAAATAACTAAATGTAGGATATCTGCAGTACTTAAAACTGTTTGCGGCTCTTGGTGAATTTGATTTGGTGTTTGAAGTTCCACAACCCTGCTTTAGGTATTTGAAAATTGTGTTGTATTTACACATGCAGTACACACACACACACTCTACTTGTCAGTATCTACTGAGAATTGTCCATCATTTTTACTGTGAATGACGCTTAACAATAAAGATGAACTTTTTTTTAGTTTGCACAACTCCCACACACACTTTATGAAAGCAGCTCATCTGAGTGCAGTGATTAAGCTCCCAGTCTTTGTTTGTCAGTGGATTTGATTGTAATAGCCTATAAGGATGCAGTGAATAGCCTCAATCCCTCCAAAGATTTAACGGTGTCACCTGTTCGTTGATCATAACAAAAGCCCTGACACCGATTCAGCAATTATATGAAACTTTGTACACAAAGCCTTTTAACTAAACGCTGTGTGATTCTGCTGCAGGAGAGCCCAAACTCAGAGGCAGCGCTAAAACAGTGGAGACAGGTTTCAGCCGAAGCTGAGTGACACAGGAATCTGTCAGATGTTCTTCACTAAAATACCCACAGAAGGAGAGTTACTTTGGAGGGGTGTTATTTTAGAACATAAAACGACTCGGTTAATTTCTGTTTCACCTCCACCAAGGCCATATAGTGTACACCAGGGGTCAGCGACCTTTCTGAAACTGAGAGCTACTTCAAGGACACTCAGTAACACAGAGAGCTGCTTGTCTGATACAGACTTCCTGAACAACGTTATAATAATCAGTTCTGGGACAGACAACAGCAGACACTCTTCTTACCATCATCATTTAACCCTCTTGAATGTCACTGCAAGTGGAACTGATTCAAAAGCACAGTAACAGTACCATTTCTGACTTGTTGACTAGTTTGATTTTTGGAATACACCACACGGGCACCTTAGGTAGTCCGGGGGGGCCACCACGTTAGTGACCCCTGGTGTACACCATTGTTATAATACAGTGTTGTGACGATATAGTGATTCTCTGAGAATACTTCCAAAATAAATACACCGTAAATTTTCCCATCCGCAAAAATATTGTTTGTTTGTAAGTTAATTAAATCATTGTTGTGATTTTTTTTTTTTCTTAATTTCATTTCACTTATCTCGTGCTCTTCTGTAAAACTGAAACCACCAGTGCTCACAGTGAGAGGACATGTCCTTTCTGAAACACATTTCCTCATGGGCGTCTCATCAGGAGGAAAATTGCTCGCCGTCCACCCACGGCAGATATTTTACCATGAGAACTGGTCCAGCTGCTGCTTATGATGCAGTGCACCATTTGAATGTAGTGATGAAGGCACGCTTGAATGGTTCAGTGTGCAAATCAAAGGCTTTTCTCCTTCGTTCGGGAATTGGGTCTTTGTCACATGGTGCTTCCTGTTATTACCACACAAGGACACGGGGAAAACAACTTCCTATCAGCAACGTCTGAAATTATAAAAAAAAAAAGAGTCAGTGGGTTGTGGAGAAATAAATCCACTTCCTTTTTTTTCTTTTTAGACTCAAACACAACACTTGACTTCACAAATGAGCAAACTGAGTTCCTTAACCATAGTCTACAGTGTATGGTGTGTATACTGGCAGCCAGTATGACTGGATTAATGTCAGTTTAACAGACAGCCAGACACTTTCACCGCGCACACCTGAGCAGAGCTTCCAGTCCCTCAGCAGTTCAGCCTTTTGAACTGTGATTTGCAGAGTCGGAACAGAAAATAAAAGACGTGCTGGGTCTCAGAGACGGCCGTGAATAAGCCTGGCAGCAACAGTGGTAGCTCACGTACGCACAGTGGATCTTGGTCTTTATGATGGTTCCCAGTGTGAATTGAGCAGCAGGGCCTGTTGTCTTCCCACTTTGAGTCAGTCTGCCAACTGCTGCAGCACAGATATGCAGCAGTGTAGCGTCACTGAAGGGTCAAAGATCAAATCTTTACGGCTTAATGTAAAAGAAGAATTCACCAAAAATTTTAAATTCAAACAAAATTTGTTATAGAGAAATATTTAAAGAACTTAATTGATCCCACACTAGGGAAATGGTTGTCAACAGCAGATGTGCTGCAACAGGCTGTCCTTTGGGGGTGCCAGGTATGTGTTTCCTTTGGGAATCGAACCTAGGACTTTCTGCTTGAAAGGCAGGCGTGTTAACCATCTAATATATAAAAGATATATTAAACAATTCCCCTGAATGGCACAGGAGGTTAAATTCTGCAAAACGTTTTTAAAACATCTCTTCTGACAGACTTTTTATTATTTTTTTATTAATATACGATTTACGAGTTGTTTTCCAGCACTCAGGTCTGAGTTGAATGGAGTCCCAGCATGAGAAGGAAGATGATCTGATGACCCTTAAATTGCATCACTAGATAAAGTATTATTGTTTTTTTAAAATGTTTAATTGAATTTTTTCAATGAGCAACTGGTATAAAACACACATTTTTAATTTGACATCAGACAAATAAGCCAGTCTCCTGCGTGGAGGATTGGTTTATGTTTTTTATCTGAGTCCATTACGTGTCATCTAATTCCCTCTCCTCCTTGGGAATCATGTTCTCCTCAGGCCATTTGAGACGACAGTGTCATGGCAGCAGTCAGATAAACATGGCTTATTCTTCTCGGCTCCGTCTCTACCTCCGTCACTCTTTGTTGATCTGATAATAAGAGGAGTGTGCAGACGGGAGGATCAGTTAGTCGACTGACTGTTTACATTTGCAGACACTCTGCCCTCGCGGCTGCTTAAAGAGGCGTTCGTTTGTTTTATGCCTGTAATTGGTGAGAAAATTGATGCATAATTTATTGTTGGATTTTAGAGGAAGAAAAGGTGCATGTTGGTGTAGGTTTCTGGGAGTGATTAGTTTCTGTGTGTCTGTGTGTGTGTGTGCGTGTGTGTTTTTGTGCGCTCAGGTGCGCAGTCTGAAATTGGAGCACGAGCTGGAGAAGAACAAGATCCTCTCAGATGCACTGCAGACTTTGGCCACGGAGCATCACGAACTTGAGCAATCCATCGCCAAAGGATCTTCACCCCGGAGTGCCCTCAGCGAGGATGAGTTCCACGATGCTGTTTCTGGTGAGTTGACGAATTATCAAAGACGCTGAGGATGGAGGAGGTTCTGTGAGTGCAGCTCCTTCTCACACTCTCTTACACTGTTGCTCACCTGGAGGACACTGGAAAAGTCTTTCCTGAAAAGGTGTCGATGGTATGTTTCAAGCTCCTCAGGTGTGACGTTCACTGTCGCTGAACTGTGTGGAGAAAATGTATGTTTGGGCTGAAGTGGAAAAATTGCATGACGCAATAATCAGACTTTATGAAGAAGGGGTCGTAGCAGTGTTTTATTTTTGGACGCTGTGCAAAAGTCCTGGTTCCATCCACAGTTTCTGAATTTCCCAGCATGCCAAAATTGGAGCTTGAATAAACCTGACTTGAAATAGAAGGACTAACTGAGACTAATCGCCGATGGCATTAATTATGTTTGAAGTGAGCCAGGATCCTGATATGTTCAGGCGTAAGAGGAGATCACATTAAATAAATACTTTATCATTTAGCCTCTTGTTTCTTCCATCAGTATTTGTTTTGTCCTTTCCTAATAATTAGTCGTTCACTTAAGACTTTATTTTAAAGACAAATGGACCAAATAATTCCTGAAGTTTTCTTAATGAGCAGGTAAACCAGTATCATGGTCGGATGTTGAAGGAGAAGCAAACAAATGCTAAAACTCTAAAAACAAAACTGACTTCTTGTTCTTTGTGCTGAGCCTCATGAGCAACTGTTCATTTTACACTTGATAATTCTGTAGGTGGAGACAGGAAGTGCAGAGAAATCTCCAAGGGCAGAAACCATAGTAAATGTGTGTGACCTTTAAGGATTCATGCAGCACTGCAACAGAAATACTATTCTAACACATATGGATGCACGGCTTTGGAACTAATTTAGAAAGTCACTGTTCCTTGACATCAAACTCTCCAAGACTGTATTTCTAAAAGAGAGAAGCCGTAGATTCTGACTGGATCAAGTTGTCTCGACCCCGTGCCCATCTATGGACTCTAAGACAATAGAAACTCTTTGTCAGATGGGTCCACGGTTTACCGTGCTCCCACAGTGCATCAGCATCTGTGTTAAAGCAGTGCTACCTAACCTTTTTTGGCTTCTGACCCCATTTTGACCTCACAAATTTCTGGCGACCCCAGAGACATTTTAATAGCTGTCACTCATGGCGACCCCAGAGACATTTTAATAGCTATCACTCATGCAGTTATGTGATCGCAGCCGTCAATCAAGATGTGCAATCTGATTTGATACCCATTTTATACTCATAAAAGTGAAAGAACATAACCATATTTTAACCATCATTTTAAGTAGTATTAATATTAAATAATAATTATTTGAAAAAAACATGGGTTTAGAAACAACGAGTTGTTTTAAAATTTCAGAGAGAATATTGAAACGTCAGCTCATTGTGTTAACAATTCCACAAACATGACTTCTTTCTTGTATCTGACACGTCACTGTGATAGAGAGCAGGTCATTTACACTAATCTGCATTTATAGCATCACCTGCAGGGGAGGGAGGAAACTACACTACGTTTAATGTTTATTTTATGATTTTCTTTTTGTAGGTGAAGGATGGTGTTGCATATTATTTCATTATTTAGATTTTTTTAAAAAGGAAGGTTAGTGGGACCTCGGTCTATTGTAATGTTGTAGAACATTTATGTCTGAATCATTCTTCGTCATACTGTCTTCTGCAGATCTGCAAAAGCTTGCAGCGCCATTTACTGGTAAACACATTGTAACTGCAATTCAGCATTACTATAACTTTTATTTACTGTTGGGCAACGCAACAAATGGGTTTTTTTATTTTTATTTTTCGGTAATCTTATTTCACCTTAAACCTCACTCACTGAGAAAGTCTTCAGTAAAGTCCGGTCAGAGAAGCCATTGTATACAGACAGTGATTCTTCTGTATGTGTTCCTCTGTGTCAGACTCAGACTCAGAGCACTCCCTGAGCGGCTTTGAGACAGTTGCCAGCCATTCCTTTGACGAGGACGAAGAGGAGGACAAAGGTTCTGACATGTTGAGCAGCTCCTGCCACAGCCCCACCAACATGTTACAGGACGGAGCCCAGAATGACAAAGAGGAGACTCAGACCAATGGGGTCATCGAGCACAGGTCAGTGGTCAGTGACTGACCACCGAACCTTTATCATCCTAGCTGGATCTCTCGCTAAACGCTGTGTGATCTTTGTCATTTTACACCAAATATTTTATGTTATGTATTTGGTATTCTCTCTTGAGCCGTCGACCGAGCCAGAAATCCTCCTCCAGGATTTTCCTGTGTTAAATATTAATAGAGTCTTAGTGTAATGCAATAATCAGTCTGCAGAATGATCCCATGTTGGCTCAGCCCTCAAGCTGATTTGGAGTTCATTTAAATTAATTATGATAATTCCTTATTTTTCTTAAGGTCTGTATGTTGTATTTTTGTGGTTACCACTGAAAGTTAACTCTGAAAGTAAAGTCTTAACAAACGTCAAAGTCAAATAGGTAATGGTTACTGTTTGATGACCTTTAAAACTTGATCATTTGTTTGTGTTCTATCATCCACAAACCTATACATTTGCTGTCTGTTCAGGACCAGCTTACCTGCACCAATGTTTTCAAGAAATGACTTCAGCATCTGGAGTATCCTGAGGAACTGCATTGGAATGGTAAGAATAACACATCTGATGATGACAGGTCGTCAGGTTATGTCAAGTCATCAGGGACTCGAGTCGACTGGAATCCAAATCCCACTGACTTGGTGGTGTTTCACTCACTTGGCATGGAGGAATGTAGCATCATTACAACAACAATTGCCTTTTTTTTCTGTGTAGGTTTTTAGCAGCATTACAAATATGTGTGGGAGGGAAGAAAGGGATTTATTTATACAACTGTATTTGACTTTATGTCATTGGAACAAATGCTGCTTTTAGAACTGTCTTAGACATTTTAATTAGTTCCAGACATTATTAATGTTCAGAAACAGATAGGAAACCACACAAAATCCACAGGTCCTACAGCAGGTTTCTGACATGTCAGGCTCTAAGGACGTGCACTTTGCCATTTTCTCATAATACACAGCATCATAATACACAGTATGACAGGATTATTATGTGTTTCAGCAAAAAGCAATTGATTGAGTTTTTTTCAGCACTTCCTGTGGAAGAACCAAGGGTATTTTTTTATTTATCTATAGATGTGGAGAATTCTCACTAATTCAAAAATAAAACAATTGAAAGAGATTTTTTTCTTTCTCCTTTTCGCACCATATATGATGTTCGTAATAAGAAGTGACAGACAAATGATGCACACAGTCTGTTACTCAGTCTTTGAAGTCTAAAAACTCCCTTGAGCCTCGTGCATTTGTCAATGTGAATATTACATTTCCAAAGCATGGCTTTGTGCTCAGACATTGTTCCTTTTCTGTCAGTAATGAAACCATGTCGCTCTTCCCTCTTTATGTCTTTCAGGAACTCTCAAAGATTACAATGCCAGTGATTTTCAATGAGCCACTCAGTTTTCTGCAGCGTCTCACCGAGTACATGGAGCACACGTACCTCATCCACCAGGCCATCGCATCCTCCGACTCCTTCGAGAGAATGAAGGTGGGACACCGTGTGATGTCCTGGAAACATCATGAGGACACTGGTTCAATGGTGTCACTTATCACTTTGTTTTAGAAGTTATTTCTCAGTGCTGTCTCTGACAGTGTGTGTGTGTGTGTTTGTTTGTGTGTGTGTGTGTGTGCTGTCGTCAGTGTGTGGCGTCCTTTGCTGTGTCCGCCGTGGCCTCACAGTGGGAGCGGACGGGGAAACCTTTCAATCCTCTGCTGGGAGAAACCTATGAACTGATCAGGTGAGAGGAATTCCAGTTGAAAAGGGAAGTGGTTTGATGAAAACTGATTTTATTCCAACATATTAACCACTGCACTGGTTTCTCAGAGAGGATCTGGGTTTCAGGCTCATATCAGAGCAGGTCAGCCACCACCCACCAGTCAGTGCCTTCCATGCCGAGGGTCTGAAACAAGACTTTGTGTTTCACGGGTCCATTTACCCTAAACTCAAGTTCTGGGGTAAGAGTGTGGAGGCTGATCCGAAAGGAGTCATCACGCTGGAGCTGCCCAAGTGAGAATCTTCAGTAGAATCAGAAACTACAGTAGAAGAGTCTGGTACTGGTGTGAAAGTCTTCTGTTTTTCCTGTCTCCTTCCTCTAGATTCAATGAAGCCTACACCTGGACTAACCCCACCTGTTGTGTTCATAACATCATTGTCGGCCAGCTGTGGATAGAGCAGTACGGAAATGTGGAGGTAGTTAACCACAGGTAAGAGAAGAGGCCTGCTGTGACATTAATGTGTAGCAGAGAGCTGTCAATCAAATCATCAACAGACGGACAACTACAATGGGAACTCCCTTGGTTTTGATTGGATTCATATTGAATGTGAAAGTGATTTCTTGTGAAAGTGAAAGTGATTTCAAGCTAGGCAGTGGCTGGTGGATTCAAACCTGCAACCATCCAGACCCAAGTCTGCCTCATTAACCTCCTTATATTGGAACGAACATATTATTATTGTCTGTGTCTAAATACCAAAATACAAAATAATTTCCCTCAAGATACAGACGTGTGTCGGAAACTGAGCAACTTTGGTGCAACTTTCAGCTGTTGTTTTTACCATCCCTGACTGTTGTGTGTGTGATGTCAATCAGTGATAAAGCTGAATATGAAAGGTGGACAAACAGACTGATGAGTAACGTGTTTTTTTGTTTGTTTGTTTGTTTCCCTTTTTCTCTCTATCTACACAGAACTGGAGAGAGATGCTTCCTAAACTTTAAACCGTGTGGCCTCTTTGGCAAAGAACTTCACAAGGTTGAAGGCTACATTCTGGATAAGAGGTGCGGTTGCAGTTATTTTAATTAACAGAGGCGTGAGGACACGTGGATGGCGTGACCTCTAATAGATGTTTTTTTTTTCATTTGAATATGTCGCTTAAACATGAAAAATGAAAAGCATACAGGCAGGAGGTTGAAAACACAAAGGAAGATGAGCTGTCTGGCACAACAGATGACTCAGTATGATTGAGTGGACATGAGCTGTGATACAGCAATATAACAGAAGACATAATGGCTGTGATCGAAGTGATGCAAGAGCGAACAAGCGATGCTGATATCAAACGGCGTGATAAGGAATTTGCTTTGCTGCAGCGTCCGCACCGTGTCCATCAGGCCACCTTTGGAACTGCGCTTTATTCTTTGTTGGTGCTCAAATCTTTAAAGGAATTACCAGCATGCAGCCCAGTATAAAAGAGAACTTTTTTTTTTTTTATCGTTTTGATTGAATGCCTCATCGGTGTTTGTTTGTGAGAGCGTGTGAAAAGAAATGTGTTTTTGCTTTTCCACAGCAAAAAGAAACTCTGTGCTCTCTATGGGAAATGGACGGAGTGTCTGTATGTTGTTGACCCTGCTGCCTTCGAGGCACATAAGAAAAGTGATAAGAAAGGAGCGGCAGAGAAAAAAGGCAACAAGGAGGTAGGGAGTAATAATGGATGATGATAATAATAATAATAATAATAATAATAATGGATGTAGAGTAGAGTTACTTCTTATTGACATTCTGTGCCTTTGAACACCAGTTGACATTAATCACACGAGAGTCAACCATAGACCTGCAATAAGAAATGGAAGAAACTGCTTGGTTTGATACAAATGTATTTCAATTCAATATTGAATTTCCTTTATTATATAAAAATAGACAATCAAATCTCTGTCACAGGACTCTTCTCACTGTATATGGAATTGCAATTTGCAAAAAGCAAACAATTCCAAAAAAGACCAAAAACTAAAATCTTTCAGATGCATTGAGTGTTTGCAACAGAAGAAGACTTTCATTCAGACTTCCCAGGCTTCATGAACCTACACCTCTGTCTCAGTGTCCCTACAGTTTGTCGTTCTATCACTTCACCTTATTCACATTATCAGGTGAAGAAAATAATGTTTTGATTGATTGATTATCAGGAAACATAGGGTCCAGTCTGAGAGTCGTTCTCTGACAACTCTTTTTATTGTGGTAATGAAGAGGAAAAATACGTGCTTTGATATCACTGGGGGGCGCTAACGTCAGTTCCTGTTCCAGAACGGCAGTGAGGATGAAGAGGAGGCTCCGTCACCTGCTGCAGACACCGTGGAGGTGATTCCTGGAAGTCAGCTGCTGTGGAGAATCCCTCCACGACCAGCCAACTCCACCCAGGTCTGGGAAAGACCTCACAAATAAGTTACAATAGCAGAAAAGCTGGGATGTAACAGTAACATATTTTAACCCTAACCCATATTTTATTTCATTCAATGGCAGATGTACAGCTTCACATCCTTCGCGATGCAGCTGAACGAACTGCACAAGGACATGGAGGGAGTGGTGCCTCAGACCGACTCCAGGATGAGGCCCGACATACGAGCCATGGAGAACGGAGATATTGGTAACGAGCGTGAAGTGGTGAAGTGATAGACGTGCTTCAGGTGAAGTATGAAATGTATTATTTTATCGTTGAACAGATCTGGCCAGTCAGGAGAAGAAGAGGCTGGAGGAGAAACAGAGAGCTGCTCGTAAAAACCGCTCCAAATGTGATGAAGAGTGGAAAACACGGTGAGGTCACCGCTCTCGGCTCAAG